CGGGAGCCGCGGGCGTCCCGGAGTCACGGCCCTGATTGGCACTCGAGAGGCGGGGCTTCCCCATGCTCTCGACCAATCAGCTTTCCCTCTGGCTCCAGACCCCCAACCCCCTCCCGCGGGGCCGGGACAGCTACCGAGAGGACACAGGACAAGTGACGCCAGCTAGGCAGGGGCGGCCGGGGGCGGTCAGCCACGGGCTTGGGGCTCAGGGGCCGGCAGGGGACGACGGGAGGGGCTGTCTGGCTGACCCCAGCGGCGGGAGGGCGGCGCCCAGGCTCAGCAGGGAGACGACGACATCTGGTCATAGTCGGGGCACTTGAGCAAGGCTGGGTAGTTGCTGTTCATCTGCAGGGAGGCGTCGCTGGACAGGTCGGAGGGGCTGCGGCCGCGGGCCCAGGCGTCCGGGTGCAGGAACTGGCCCGAGTAGTCGGAGCAGTTGCTCAGCCGCGGGCGGTAGAAGCCGGGGTGAGGCCTGTACATGTCCTCGGCCGTGTACCTCTTCATGAACAGGTACACGGACATCACGCCGGCGCTCTGCAGGGACAGGGCGGCACAGCGGAGTCACCGCCGGGGGCTGCCCGGGACACCGCCACGCCAGGGCTCCGTGGGGACAGGAGCAGGGTCCCGGATGCGGGAGACCCGGGAAGGAGGAGAGGGACACATGTCGGGGGTGAAGCAGGGAAGGAAGGGGGGGTCCGGGGTGCTTGTGCTTTCCTCCCCGGCTGAGCCCCACCCGGCCTGTCCCCGCACGTCGAAGGCCTGTACATGTCCTCGGCCGTGTACCTCTTCATGAACAGGTACACGGACATCACGCCGGCGCTCTGCAGGGACAGGACGGCACAGCGGAGTCACCGCCGGGGGCTGCCCGGGACACCGCCACGCCAGGGCTCCGTGGGGACAGGAGCAGGGTCCCGGATGCGGGAGACCCGGGAAGGAGGAGAGGGACACATGTCGGGGGTGAAGCAGGGAAGGAAGGGGGGGTCCGGGGTGCTTGTGCTTTCCTCCCCGGCTGAGCCCCACCCGGCCTGTCCCCGCACGTGGGAGGGGCTTTACCTCTGTTAGAAGGAAGGAGATGGCAGCAAAGGCAAATGACCAGCCGTATTTATAGGTGAAGTAGGTCTCTGCGTCCTTGGTCCTGTTGAGCATCTCGTCATTGATGCTGGAGATGTAGAGCACCAGGCCCACCACGAGAGAGAGGCCTGGGCAGGGGACAGGGAAGGGGACACTCAGCACAGGGGTCTCCTCCCCTGAGGGTCGGGCACAAAGCCGGCCTAGTGCTAACAGTGCACTCATTTTGGAGTGCAAGGGAGAGTAGGAGCGTCGTTCCTGAGGACCCTGTTTAGACCAGCACCTTCTGGGTTCAGATGGTTGCAGGTAACATGGCTCCCCGTCCAACCACCCTCCTGAGCCATGGGTTAAGCCCAGTGATTCTGCCCCCAGCTGCCCACACCTGTCATACAGACGTGCCTGAGACCCAGCCCCAGACATTGTGATTTACTTGGCCAAGGCTGGGGCTCTGGCTCTGTAGTTTCTTACAGGCTCCCCAGGTGACACCAACGTGAACCAGGGGTGTGAACCACTGAGCTGGCAAGTGGCTTTTACTAAACTGGGGAATAACATCGGCCCCCTCAGCAGAGGTAGCCAGGGCCTCCCATCCCTGTCACTGGTGGTGAGTGGTACACATCATTGTGGAGTCAACAAATGTGGCCCGTGGTCTGTGCAGCCCGCTGACCACAGGGTGTGGCCTCTCTGAGATCTGTTGGCAGGCGAGGTAAAGAGAGTTTGTCCAGATTCTGGCAAGCACTCAATCAGGAGGCCTTTGGGGCCCAAACTCCTACTGCCATTGTGCAAATGACTGCCCCAGGCACCAGTCCCATTAATTAATAACTGTAATTGAATCAAGACATAATTAATTACTCTGTTTTGAGCTGTTCAGGTTCAATTCCATTCACGTTATTTTATGAAACTGGGGCATCTTGAAGGATGAATGTTAAAGGAAACTAGATGTGATTCAAACCTTCCTCGGGACATAACCCATGTTTGAATCCCTGCTGCCCCCAGTGAACCCTCTTTATTGTTACCATTGACACAACTTCATGTGGCCTAGCTCAGTCCTAGACTTCTGATCCTGTAGCCCACTGCTGAAAAATGTCAGGTGCCTTGACGCTGCTGTATAGCCTGGGCTGTTGTGAAGTTCACAGAAGGAAAAGTAAAGAAAGAGCTTAAACCTGGGTTTGTACCTCTTGGACTAGGAGGAAATATCACCACGCAAAGGTCGGACCGATGGCATTGTGGGTGTTCAATAGATATTTCTGGGATTGATGGATGGAAGGGTGGAAGGATGGATTAAATAGATGGAAGGATGGATGGAAGATGGGTTGATGGGGAGATTGAAAAATGGATGGACAGATGGATGAAAAAGAGGATGGGTTGGTGTGTGGATGGACGGATGGATGGAAGGAAGGAGAATGAAAGAATGACTTTTGGGGAACCAGGCACTCTGACTGCCTTTGGCTCCCAAGCTATGTTGACAAGAAAATGTTGGGGACAGGATCCTGAAGTGACTTGGGAGTCGGGCGGCAATCAGAATGCCTGGTGCTCAACAGCTGTTTTTTTTCTTTCCTTTCGTACATCCGTCCATCCATCCGTCCATCCATCCATCCACTCACCTTCCATCCAAGCATCTCCTCCCCCAGCCTCCCCTCCCCAGTCAACCAGTCCAGGGCACCTAAAACATGGGCCCTGAGCATCACTCCTTTGGCTTGAGTCATTATCTCCAAAAGAAAAGGTCTCCATGAAAAAGCGCAGGTTACCTTGAAGGAGAAAAAGAGCCTGCCTTTATTTACTGTATTTCCTTGTCACTCTACAAATCTCATCCATGTCCATGGTTCCCTCTCCTGCTCTCCAGGCTCATAGCTCCCAAGTATAAATCTTTGGTCCAATTCGCTCCCCTGATTTCCAGACCCTCCCCTCTAGCAGCCTTCTGGACACCTTCTCCTAGAGGCCATATGGGCACCTCAAATTCAGCACTTCCCACACTAAACTTATGATCTTTGCCCCAAATCTGCCCCTTCTCCTGTGATCCCTACAAGAATGACGTGAGGCACCATCCACCTGGTGCCCAGGTGAGAACTTGGGGCTCACCCTGACTCTCCCCTTGAAAGTCTAGTCCCAGTCCTCTTGAGTGTACCTCCCAAATGTCACTTGAACTCTCTCATGTCTCTCTTCTCCACCGTCACCCCCCAGTTTGGGCCGCCGTCACTTCTCCCGCACCATTGGAAGAGCCTCTTGCCTGGGCCCCCGACTCATGGCTTCCCTCCCCCGCTCCAGTCCTCAGAGGGGTCATTCCAAAATCTAAATCTGATCATGTCATGCCTGGCTCAAAATCCTCCTGAGGCTTCTCTTAAAGTCCCAAATTCATAAGATGACCTCGCTGCCCTCCCAGTCTCACCTCCCACTACGTTTCTGCTCACGCCTGCTGTGATGAGTCGTGCTTAGGCTCAGTTCCCGCAGTGCCGCGTCCTCTCTCTTCCCTCCAGGCCCCCTCCCCGCCCCCAATCTCACTTCTTGCCTAGTTCCTGCTCGCCCTTTGGCCCGCCTTCTCCGGGTGGTCTTCCCTGACCAACCCTCGGTCTAAGTTTCAACCACTGCTCTTGGACCCCACAGCGGTCCTTGATGGCCACGATTGTAGCCCTTTCCACACCGTGTTCCTATTTCCTGTCTACTTGTTTATGTCCCCATTACACGGATACCAACCCTCGGTCTAAGTTTCAACCACTGCTCTTGGACCCCACAGCGGTCCTTGATGGCCATGATTGTAGCCCTTTCCACACCGTGTTCCTATTTCCTGTCTACTTGTTTATGTCCCCATTACACGGATCTTTCTGTAGGGAGCAATACCAGCCCCCAGAATAAGGCCGGGTAGATATCATGAATGAATGAATGAATGAACGAGTAAATGACCTAAATAAAGAATGAATGAATGAAGTACAGCCTGGTGTCAGTCCAGGAAGAAGGGCCATGTAGAAAGGGGGCCCAGGGTATAGGGTACAAATGGAGAACGAAGGGGACAGTAGCAGTCCCCAGGGATAGCTGACGGCGGGGGTGGGGTGAGGTGCAGGGGCCATATTCCAAAATCATGTTTTTTACACAAAACCACGAAGACGTGGCCTCTTCAAAAGTAGCAATGAATGCTCATTATCCGTGGGAAATAAAAAGGAAGTGGTGGCGAAGTGCAGAGTCAGGAGGGAGCCCTGGGTCCCTTCCCAGCTGTGCCCCAGGGTGGGCCTGTCAAGCCACTCTGGAGCCTCTGCTGCTCTTCCGGAAGGTAACGGATGGGCCTGGGGTCACCAGAAGTCTCCTCCAGCTCTGACCCAGCTTTTCCCAGGTTACTGACTCAGCTTGTCCTATTTCCAGTGTCACGGGTTGACCCACAGTCATGACCAGGACACTCCAAAGCAGAGCCGTGTAGGAGTTAAATCAAAAGTCCAGAGTTCACGAAAGGGAAACAATAGGAAGAAGGGCCATGTAGAAAGGGGGCCCAGGGTATAGGGTACAAATGGAGAACGAAGGGGACAGTAGCAGTCCCCAGGGATAGCTGACGGCGGGGGTGGGGTGGGGTGCAGGGGCCATATTTCAAAGTCATGTTTTTTACACAAAACCACGAAGACGTGGCCTCTTCAAAAGTAGGAATGAATGCTCATTATCCGTGGGAAATAAAAAGGAAGTGGTGGCGAAGTGCAGAGTCAGGAGGGAGCCCTGGGTCCCTTCCCAGCTGTGCCCCAGGGTGGGCCTGTCAAGCCACTCTGGAGCCTCTGCTGCTCTTCCGGAAGGTAATGGATGGGCCTGGGGTCACCAGAAGTCTCCTCCTGCTCTGACCCAGCTTTTCCCAGGTTACTGACTCAGCTTGTCCTATTTCCAGTGTCACGGGTTGACCCACAGTCATGACCAGGACACCCCAAAGCAGAGCCGTGTAGGAGTTGAATCAAAAGTCCAGAGTTCACGAAAGGGAAACAATACAACTCACCTGAGAGGATGAAGAAGATGCCGGAGACAAAGGCCAGTATTGTCCTGTGGGGACGGACGTGCCCAATGTTGCTCAGGATAAACCCGATGAACATGAAGAAGAGGCTGACCAGAGGGAACGGCGTGGCCGAGCGAATCATTTCTAATTAAGGGGACGAAAGGAGGGCATGTTGGACTCCAGCAGCCTTACCCGCTGCTGATCCTGCCAAGTTCCTGGCAGTGTCACCGCCCTCCAAGCTCCACCCCACACTGGGGTGCCCAGGGACCTCCCAGCACTGACAGGGCTTCCGTCCCTGAGATGGCGCTGGACGGGAGACTTCAAGTGCCCACGTATTCAGCGCCTCTGCCTTCTCCTGCAGGCACAA